GCTTCAAGTTCATTGTATGTACGGTTGTTTATAATGGGTCATTGTAAGTTACATGAGTTGTGCCCACCGTCATCAATGGTTCGGAACCACCTTCTGGTGACATTATCAAATCCTTAGCTATAATGTTTCAACAGTTTCCCTTGAATTAATAACATGTTTACTTACGAGGGGTGAGAATTGGAATTGTTTTAATTTTTACTTTTTTCTGCGTTTATTAACACGAATGAAAGATTATGTGATATCCACGTTAGTATCCCGTATACTCTAAAACCATGAATTGGGTCAATTAGAGGAGTATAGTTGATCAATTCTAATTAGTTAATTCTACTATTTTTAGAATTTCCCGATTTAAGTAAACATACCCTAATAGGAAATGAACCAATAATATACAGGGAGGGCAGCGGGGTGGAATTTCATCTCAACAAGCAAAGAATAAGGGCCCCAGATGGTTGGCATTTTACATGTTGTTTCTTGAAGCTGACCTTTAGCCACACCACACCCATCAAGTAGTGCCTTCAAAATCTTCCAACCTCAAGACTTGGCTTTTAGCTATGTGCGTGTGTGTGTTCCATGAAAATGAGCTCAGAAAAATGGTCCAAATGTGATTTTTCACACACTTCCTTTTCAAGTTTTCAACAGCATCCTCATAGCCTACCTACATACATATAAAATAAAAGATAGTACACTAATAATTCAACTTCTCTGACTTGCATCGCAGTGGGAAGGAACCCCACCAATACCTTATCAAACCCGAAATATCTATATCACATAATTATAACACAAAACGTCACAACGGAATTAATCGTACAGCCCCAGCTTCTAGTGGTAGTAGCACCTATTTTTCTTTTTCTTTTTAACGGATGTATGATGTAAAGGTGTAGACAAATAATTTAATTCCAACCCCTACTCTGTCTGCTTCCCTAAATTTTCCACCCCCACCATAGGTCATTATCAATGTTCTACCTAGCCACAACTTTTTCTATGGTCATGTTTTTGTTGCTCAATTGGAGAGTTTTGGATTTGATGTGGGGCCGCTTCTCCTTTTGGCAGTAATGGTCCAGGCCCATTCTAGAGGTCCAACAAAGGCTCTATCCTTTTCTTAGAGCAACTTCACCCATTTGCCCTTAGCCATGGCAAGGGGGGGAGCTAGAGCAGCAACGAGTCACGAGAAAGGGGGGGGGCCACGCGT